AAAAAAAAAAAAAAAAAAAAAACGAAAAATTAACAATATACAAATGGCAACAGAAATTGTGTATTACGTGTAGAGATGCCGAGAAAATGCCTCTTGAATTTTTGAATTTTCCATTTTCTACAAGTTAGAAGACGATCCCCCTCGCAAAATGTTCAAACTGTAAAGATGTTGCAGAAAAACCGTCTCGAAAGTTTTGAAGCAAAATCAACCTGTCACAAAACCAATACGGTTCAAATATCAGATTCGGAAGCAATATGGTGTGTTAATCATACTACATTTACAAAACTGAATTCACTCAACCAAGAATAAAATCACAGTCTTCACACATAGAGCTAGCTAACCTGCATGACTGTAATAAGACACACAAGTAGCCTCATTACGAGACCCAACGAAGAGTATTCGAGAATAACTTACCTCAGATTGATGGACGTTCAAAATGGACAAAAAGAAGTTAATAAGGCTGCAGCGTCACGGCCATCAACGGAGAAAGGTGGACGACGACCGCCGATCAGAGCGGAGACAGAAGAACGGGAAAACGACACACCAGAAGCAGATCGGGGGAAGAGAGCGAGAGGAGAACAGATCTAGAAGTGAAGCCCTTGTCCTCTTTTGCGAAAATTGAAATTTGAAAATTGAATGGAGGGTTGTGATTAATAGATTATTAATCTATTTAACATTAAAAAAAAATCACAAATTTTCTAAATAAAATATTGAAAGCTTAGTTTACATTCGCGATAAAATTTAATTTTATATCCAATAATTCAATTAATTTTTAAACATCGATTCAATAAATCAGCTAAATATAAGTTTAAAAATTTAATACACATTTTAAAGAAAATACAAAAATAAAAAATATTAGAACCTATCAAATATTTACTACCAAAGACAAAATAGACATAAATCTATCGGACCCTTAATTTATCTTAATATTTGGTATGATATATAACTTTATATATTTTATTACACATTTTAAAGAAAATAAAAAAATAAAAAAATATAGGACCTATCAAAAAGACATAAATCTATGGGACTCTTAATTTATCTTAATATTTGGTATGTATGTGATGTATATAGTAAAGAAGTCTCTTTTATTCCCGCTCTTCTTGACCCCAATACCTCCAAAGGTCCCCTTCGGTTGGGCGAGATAGTTACATTTCTTTCCATCGTCTCTAAATCGAACCAATTCAATCAATTAAAATCAATGTGAGTCTTAATGATTCGTTTACCGCTATAGGTCTGGGAATGGTGGACTATACAAAAATTTCTTTCCAACCATTCACCAGAAATCACCACAGGAGCAAAGTCCATCTTTGAAGTGATGATAACGATTAACATCTCTAATACTTATTTCTCTCTTCGTGATCTTCGATATGAACTTAATCGCAACATGACAGTCCTCACAAACTCTAAGGTTCTTGATAATCAAGAGCCTACTTCCCAAAGCTGTGCTGATGAGTCCATAAGCAATGGCCAGTCTTTCACTGTGACCACACACCATATCAGCCTTTTCATCGTCTTCGACATCGTGGAAAACCGACCCGATTTGTGGTGCATAGCCAGCCTCTTTCATCAACTTCCCTATCCGTTTTAGCTCGGCATAGATTGCTTCAGACTCGGGATGCGAAGTATCTTCTGACGAGAAGGCATGGACTTTGTTCCTCACTTCTATCCAACTACAAGCTATACTTTTCTTCAACCCCCTATCCATCATGACATCCCTTAGTCTTGCAACTCCTTCCCATTTACCTGCTTGCGCGTACATGTTCGACAAAATCACATAGTTCCCGCCATTGTCAGGTTCGAGCTCAACCAACTTCCTTAACGCTAGCTCGCCCAACTCCACATTACCATGGATTTTGCACGAGTGAAGCAAGGCACCCCACACACCAGCATCTGGCTCTACTCTCATTTCCATTATGAGGTTGTAAGCTTCTTCCAAGTGACCACAATGACCAAGTAGATCAATCATACAAGTGTAATGTTGAACAGTAGGACGTATAATGTAATCACTTAACATTGATCTGAAGTACATCTTCCCCTTGATTAAGCAACCCACCTGGCTGCAAGCAGCCAGAACTCCAACAAAAGTTATATGATCAAGGAGAGCTATCTCTTTCATCTCCTTAAACAAGTCCAAAGCTTGATTAGCATGGCCATGCATTGCATACCCAGAGATCATGGCGTTCCAAGAGACTACCCTCTTCTCCTTCAACAACTCAAACAGACTCCTAGCAACATGTACAGAGCCACACTTGGCATACATATCCACCAATGCAGTTTTCACCCTGTCATTCAACCCAAATCCATGTCTCCAACTATAACCATGAAGCTCTTTCCCTTGAGGAAGAAGGACACTATCAGCTGAAGCTGAGATGGAGATGACAAGCGTCCCCTCGGTGGGGTTCACTCCAGCATACGCCATCTCCCTACAAAGAGAAAGACAATCATCTGGTTGCCCATTTTGGGAATAAGCTGCAAGCATGGAGTTCCAACACACAACATCTCTCTCAACCATTTTATCAAACACCTGTTGGGCACTCACTACACAACCACACTTAGCATACATATCAATCAGGGCTGCACCCACAAACACATCAGTCTCCAATCCAGCGCCTATGACATGTTCGTGAATCTTCTTTCCCTCTTCCATTGCAGAAAGAGCCGAGCAAGCTTTGAGCACAAATGGAAAGGTAAATTTATCGGGCACAAATCCATAATCCTGCATTTGATAGTAAAGTGAAATTGCAACCTCATATGGTCCATTCCAAGCATAACCTCGTATCATAACATTCCAAAGGAAGAGACTCCGTTTGGAAATTCTATCGAACAAGAGATGAGCATTTATCAAAGAGTTGCAGACGCAGTAAAGATTGATTAGTTTAGTAGCCAAAAGAGGGTTGAATCCAAGACCCATTTGCCAAATCCGAGCGTGAAGCTGCTTTCCAGGCTCTATCGCCTTTTGAACGCCGCAAGATTGGAGGAGAGAGGCATAATAAGACGCCGGCGACTTAGGCCCGAGAGCTGGTCTTGGAGATGGCCGGACTGAATGAGTTTTAGTGCTCTGGTTCCGAGATGAAGAAGAGTAGAAACGGGACGATCGAGACGGAGAAGATAAAGTAGAGAATAAAGATTTGAAGTAGGAGAAAGACAAACACGAAGAAATTCGCATTCAACTGGTAAGATTGACAAAACAAAAAAGAGGCATTCAATTAGTCGATTCATTCATTAACGAACAAGAACAGATAATCCAGCATCCCGATTTCTACCCAAAAGCACACAAGCAAACAGCGAAAGTGATTCGTTGAACACTTTTGCATAACACAGCCAATAGTATCGCAGTAACCTTCTATTCCGATTGATGATAGTACCATTACCAAGATGAAATCGAAATAAAAAGCTCAAATGTTCCATACCCTTTTCGACGGACATGGCTGAGAAATCGCTCGAGTTTGGCCCTAGTCCAAGAGCCCAATAAGAGATTGCCCGCGCGCGGCAATTGTCGGCTGGTATTTATAGACACCACAAAGTATTGCACGTGCTAGGAACGTGATTCGTGTGTGAATTATTGTTTTAAATATATACTTAATATAATATAACGGAGTTTATGTTAATATGAAATTTTATTTATTTTTATTTTTATTTTAAATTTTGTAAATGTAGTATTAGAAAATTAGACTAAAATATTATTTTAATCATTGTATTTTAGGACCAACTCCATGTTTATCCATTTCCCATATGATTTTAAATAATTTTAATGTTAGTTTTTATAATTTGTTTAAAGTTGATTTTCATTGAATTTAATAAAATAATAATAATAGTTATACTTTCGTGAGAAAAAAAACATAATATGAACATAATTATAATAAATTGAAATGTGTGTTTATGTGGGGAAAGGTGCGATAAGCTAATTATATTTTATTTTTTAAAAAACATAACATGTATAATTAATTATTCATTTTGTCTATACTAAATGTTTATATAAGTTTATTAAAATAATTTATACGAGAATAATGATTAAGATGGATTGTTAAATAAAATTAAAATTTTAAAATTTAAGATCTAATAAATTAAAAGTTAGCAACTAAACCAGTAATGTAATAAAATGTGAGAATTAAATAAAAACATTATTTATTTTAAATGTAAATAAAATAAAATGTTAAAAAGTACTCATACGTTGAATTATGTTCATTCTTAATTATGGTAAATTGATTTTCACATTTATTTAAGATTATGTGACAGATTTTAGGTAATATCGTTATGATATAATAATAAACTATATTCTATAATGAGTGATAAAGGGAATTGATATTTTGGAATAATCATGGGCGTGACTTACGGCAAATTTACCTGGCAGAGTTTGACCCAAATGAGGGAGATCATATCCTCTCGTATCTTTTTGATCGTGCCCCCAATCAAGATGAGACACCTGTAAATTAATATTTTTTTTCTCATACATTAATTACAAATTTCTCATTTTTTTTTTCATAAAAAAAAAAGTAATGTTAATATTAAGATTATTTATTTTTCTTACGAGATCAAAATCTCTTACATTTAACATTCACGTGCCAACATTCGGTTGGATTCTCTTCTCACTTGTTGTTACAACGCATTGTTTTTTTTTTTTAAGACAAGAAATTCAAACATATGGACTTTTCGATCGAGTGTATGATAACTTAATCAATTCTGTTGCGTTCACGTTGACTATTACATGTCGATTCATGTATTGGAATAACTAACTCAATTGAGAATCTATGACTGATCTGAACAACCCATACTAAATACGATTATAACCGCATCGAATTTGTTTCTCTTTATACTATCTACCCATAATTGTTTCTTTCTAGATTAATTAGAGTTCCAACCCTAAGTTATACTCCACTAAAGCAACTGCCTAACTATTCTTTCGACACGTTATCAAGTTGTGAAGCATTTTCGCTAGCATTATTAGTGATCGCGTGTGAGATTTACATAAACCTTTTTGGACTGGGCCATTTAAAGTTATTGGGGTCGAGCCTAGACATCTCTTTGAGCTATCATCCTTGGATAGATGAACAGCCTGAAAAGTATAAGAACATGCTTGAGGAGTTATTACGTTCGTTCATAGGCTAATTAAAGAATGTGGACCGTATACCTCTTAATAATGGATGGATTATAACAACACATCCAATGAAGGAAGGCAATAGATTAATGCACAAATGGGATAGGAAAGAAAATCAAAACCCTAATTACAAAGATGCAACTTTTAATGCATTTATAAATGGCTAGTGAGAAAGGCAAAAAATAATAATAATAAATAAATAAATAAATAACAGCTGGCTCCACAGTTTTACAGCTCATTAACAGAAAGAAGGAAGGAAATTTTAAAAAAAAAAAAAAACCAGAAAAGGGCTTAGCTTAGACAAGAAGCTAGTAAACAAGTCAAGCGCCACACGCAGAAGGCGACGGCGGCCGAGTCACAAGGCTGCCCAATTGACCTCACCCAACGCTGTCCCCTGTCAAAAGGGCATCCACAATTCACAATTCGCATGTGCCTTGTCTCTCGGCCATCCTTTTTGCGCCTCAACTAACACAATTTCACATGTTTGGGTTTTGTGGTTGCCAGTTGAAAAACATCGGTGGATTGGTTGGATTCTATCGATCACTTTAATTCATGTTCTTTTTTTTTTTTTTTTTTTTT